GGTCCCAGCACCCGGAAGGAAGCTCCCCCACTGCCATCCCAAGCTCCTAGGGCACAGAAGGTGAGCCACATGGGTGTCAGAAGCACCCCACCTTGTGGAAATGAGAAGACACATAGACAAGCCTCAAAAACAGACTTCCAGATCACCTACAGCAACCCCAAAGGGAAATGAGATGGAACAATCTGATACTCAACCACCTGGCCTCTCTGAACTGGCAGCAAAAGAGGATCTGGGAAAAATGAAATCAGAAATAATTACTCAGTTATCAGATCTGTAGGGCTACATCCTTCCTCATGTCTCATTACAACAGGCATGGAAAAATGCTCTGAGTTCACCCTATGTCTCCTATTTCTGTTACTTCCATTTGGGTCAAATCCCTAAGGGTTGTTGAACATGGACTTTGCATGAGACTTAAGAACTTCCAGAAACAGAGGTAGAGAACACATGGCACTTGGCTTTGAGCCACTTATTATTAGGAGGAATAAATAAAGGACTGGAAAGGGAGGTGAGAAGCTAATACCCCAAGGGAGGAGGGAGAAAGAGAGGCAAAGCGCTGTGAAGGGTTAGAGAGCTGACTCTTGGGCCTGGCATCTGCCTCACAGTGTCCCCACATCCTAGCCAGTCTCCTGGATATGCGGGATGGGGCATATCCAAGCAGACCTCCAGAGTGACAAGGGGGTGCCGCTGGAGTGTCTCTCACTATTATGTCAAATCCCTGTTTCAGGGGGACAGACATTTAAGAAGCTATGCTTGGCCACCTTGCCCAGAAATCAGGAAAGCTATTTTTTCTCTTCAAAATAATTGCTACTGATCCTTTCTTCTATTAGCCAAAGAGTCTAATGTCACTTTTCTGCTCTGGCTGCCAGGAAGCTTGGAGCTACATTTTGTGCACAATGACTGCAGCCTGCTGAGGCTAATTCTTTGGATTTGTATTTCGCTACACTCTCTGTACCACTTGACTCTGTTTTTCCATATTTTCTACAAACAAACTTCAGTGCTACTCTATCTTGATAAATTCATATAGATCAATTTGAAGCATTTGCTTAATTTCCATTTGCCTATTCCTCGATCATTCTATCTCCTTTTGGCGACAGCTGCACCCACCCCCAGCTGGGGATTCCTGACATGCAACCTTCTGCACTGAGCACAAGGCTGTCCTCAGCGGTGGCTTTGAAAGCACCTTCTCTCTAGCCAGCAGCAGCTGAGGTGTCTTGGTGACATTTCTGAAAGGGGCTTCTCGGCTTGAACCCTTGAAGGGGCCACCATTTCCTGTCTCCAGGCCTTCTTCTTGTCTCAAGAGGGGGTCCGCACCGCGAGAGCTCCATTGGCAGCTCTTCCTCCCCGCAGCCAGGTAATTTGGCAGCTGAGCCCAGAGGCTGGTCCAGTCCCCAGCAGGGGTTTAGTTGTCTGGGCAACGTGGGCGTAGCCACGCCCATCAACTGCCCACAGTCAGGCGCGAGACTTTTCGGTTGGTGCTCACCTGCCTGCACAGGGAAGGCGCGTTTGGATGCTTAACTGTAGTTTCTCGAGGGACGTGTGTGGCTTGGTCAGCGTCATTCAAACTGCGGCTAAACCCAGGTGGCCCCTCTCTGAATCCACCAGCTTCAACGTCATTTCCAGTCTTGAATTGGGAATACTGGGCCCTGTGCTCAAACGTGGCCTGATTCCAATCCAGGAGAGAGATCTAATGCCAAACCCCACCAAGTTTTCCAAAGTGTGATCAGAGGGCAGCACCTGAGGCAGAATTGCGAAGGACACTGCCTTCAAATGCCAGCCCCAGGCCATAGGAATCACCCACACGATGTTGTAGGTGTGGGCCTGGGAGGAGGAGTCTTGGGACAGTCTCCCAGGTGACAACAGGTCCACACTGATGTTTGGAGGACCAGGCTACACAGATGAGGTTGCAGGGATAGGTGGAAAATTACAATATTTACATTTAATTTTTTAAAAGAAACTTTGTTTTGTTTTGTTTTTTGGTACCGGGGATTAAACTTGGGACCTTGCGCTTGCGAGGCAGGTGGTGGAACCATTGAGCTAAATTCCTGGCACTAAAAGAAACTTTATTGAGGTATAATTTACAATAAAATATGCCCACCTGAAATGTACAATTTGAAGAGTTTTGAAGAATATGTATTCTTTTGTAACCATCACCACAGTCTAGATAAAGGCCATCTCCCAGGGTCCCTCTGCAATAATCCTCAGCCTTGGCATTTCTAGAGCTTCATAAAGATCAAGATATTAATTAGACAGTACGTCCTTTGTTGTGTCTGACTTTTGCTCCCCATAATGTTTTCGAGGGTCATCGATGTATCAGTAGTTTGCTCTTTTTTATTGCTGAGTAATGGTCCATTGTTTGGATAGATATCAAATAGTTTATTCATTCACTTGTGTTTGGGGTTGTCTCTAGATTTCTCACCTCTTGCCTAACATAAAAATTAACTTGAGCTGAATTGCAGAATTCAGCTAGTTGTTACGCACAAAATTATAAATCTTTATGCAATCTATCTCAAGTTAATTTTTTTTGTATGAGTTAAGGGTTGAGATTTGTTTTTCCTTATGGAATCTAGTTCCCCATATGATGTTCCCATACCATTTACAGGAAAGATTTTCCTTTCCTTCATTGAATTAATTTGGCACTTTGTATAACTTCAATCATCCATATGTATGGGGTCTATTTCTGGACTCTGTGTTTCATCAATCTGCATGGCTATCCTTAAGCTAATTTACCACTGTGTTCATTACTATAGCGTTATAGTAAATCCTAAAATCAAGTAGCGTGAGCATTCCTACATTCTTTACACTTGGATTTTAATTTTAGAGTCAGATTATCAGTTTTGACAAAAATCCAGCTAGGATTTTGATAGGGATTGCACTGAATCTGTGGATTAATTTTGGGAAAATTGTCAACAGCAATATTTTCTTTTAGTCATAATATGGTCTATGAAACTTTTTGAAATTTGAGGAAAATTGTGTAGGTTTTCAGTGTGTGGATCTTTTATAAAAATTTATTTCTAAATATTTCATGATTTTGGCTGCTGTTGTGCCATTTTCCCAAATGTTTGCTATTAGGATGCAATATATGGAAATGTAAGTATTTTTGTATATTAACCTTGTGTCCTGTAACTTTACTAAACTCATTAATCATAGCATATCTGTGTGATAGACTCAAGGATTTTCTACATGATGATTTCAGTGATGAATAAAATTTTACTTTTTCTTTACAGTCTCTAGGCTTTTTATTTCTCTTTTTAATGCTGAAATGAATAGGACTTTCAGTAAAATAGTGAATAAAACTGCTGAAGGTATTCTTCCAAACTTAGGGAAGAAAGCACTCTTTCATCATTATGAGTTATGATGGCTATAGATTTTCTAACATCCTAAATAACCATAGTGCCAATAAACTAACCCAGCACATTAACACAGATTCAATATTATTAATGTATCTAAGGCCTTTTTCAAACTTTAGCAGTTGCCCTTTTAGTGTTATTTTTCTGGCCCAAGATCAGTCCATGTTCCCATATTGCATTAGTTGTCATGTTTCCTTAGTCTTTGTTCATTTGAGATGGCACATGCCTTTGATGCTCTTATAAAGTGTTATTTTGCATAGTATTCCTCAACTTGGAATCTGTCTGATGTTTTCTCATGATTAGACTGAGGTTATGTGATTCTTGCAAGAATACCACATAAGTCATGTTGTGCCCTTCCTAGTGCATCTAACCAAGAGGTGCAAGATGTAGCCAGATGGAGGGGCACACACCTATAATCTCAGTTTCTTGGGAGGCTGAGGCAGGAAAATTGCGAGGTTGTTGTTTTTGTTTTTGTTTTTGTTTTTGTTTTTTTTGAGACATGGTCTCATTCTGTAGTTCAAGCTGGCCTTGAACTCACTATGTAGTCCAGGCTAGTCTTGAACTCATGGCAATCCTCCTGCCTCAGCCTCCGGCATGCTAGTATTACAGGTGTACGCCACTATACCTGGACAGTGATAATTTTTGTTTGGTTGGTTTTTGTTTGTTTTTAAGAATTGGAAGTTTGAGGCCAGCCTGGACAAATACCAATTTAGGGAGAATCTGTTTCAAAAATAAAAAGAGATACAATATGTCCACGAGTCTTTTACTCATGATATTAACTTTTATCATTTGGTTAAGATAGTGTCTGTTAGGTTTTTCCACCGTAACTTTACTCTTTCCACCTTAGAAATAATAAGTACCACCTGGGGTCATTTTTTGGTTCAATCAAATAACTTGAATTAATTTGCGTTTTTGGCATCTATTGAAGATTCTTGCCAGCAATAATTATTACCATGATGAGCGCTAATTTTCTAGTTCCATAATTCTGCCTTTATCAGTTGGACTTCTAATAAGAGGAAGTGTAGGAACCAGCCTATGAGCTTGAACATGAGCAAGGGGTAGTGAGGATGGAAAATAAAGAGACACAGAATCAGGTTAAAATCTGCAGGGCCAGGGGCCTCTTGTCTCCCTTCAACAGAGAGCCTGAGTGACTGGCACACCTTGGTTTTATTGACTCAGACATGAGCCCAAGCAATCAGAGTTCCCCAGGATTCATCTGTCTCCCCCGCTCCTGCTAAACACCAGGACCTCAGGTGTTTTTACTTCTCCCTGAAGCGTGTCAGCAGGCACGCCTGCCCTCTTCTCAGAGCTCACCGATGAGGCCAATTAGGCCTCAATCTTCCCATCTGGTCTCCCACAAGGAAGAGCTATCCTTTCTGCTCTACTCATTTATATCATTGTGGATTCTTGGATATTTGCTTTATTCAATGGCTTACAATCCATTATATTTTCTTTAAATTTTTTTTTCACACTTGGGTATTGAGAGATACTTCGAATTGGCTCTTGATATGTTCCTATCATCTATGTAATTTTTTTTTCTGATTTTCATCTTGGTATGAATAGCACTAACTGCTTCATATGCCTAGTAATGTTTTGGGGTTTTTTTTTGGTACCAGGGATCAAACTCAGGACCTTGTGCTTGTGAGGCAGGCATGGTGCCACTGAGATAAATCCCTGGCCACCTAGTAATTTTTGATTGGATGTGTGGTATTTCAATCTTAGGTTTAGTGGTACTGTATTTTGTTGCATTATTTTCAATAGTATTTGGCTTTGTTCTAGCAGGCAGGTAAGAGTCTCATGGTCCATCTCAATCCTTTTGAAGCTTGATTGTTAGGATTATTTAAGGCAAATATAGATTACTTTATACTCTAGTCTTATTTTAGGCATACTATGAAGACCTGACACTTGTGGGGGTTTCTACTAAGCCACACATCCTCCCCATAAATTCCATAAAGTCCACTCTGGCTTGTAGAAATTAAAATAATTCCAACTCTGTGTGAGTCCTGAGAATTGTTTGGCTTAGAAGTCCCTTGAAAATTTTCTCTCCCTTGTAGTTCTTGTCCAGCCTCACTGAGTTTTCCCTGCCCATACAGAGGCTCATATTCAGCCAAAGATTCAAGTAGATCTCTCTGCATATTTCTAGAGCTCTTTGTCTCTCTCCCCTCCAGTACTCTGCCCTGCAAATTCTAACAGCCTCAGCCTCCCCATGTAATAAGTAAAAGCTCATCACTATTTGTTTTTATCTTAATTTGTATTTATCTGATGCCTAGTGATGTTGAAGTTTGAGAGTTCTTTCTATATTCTAGATAAGAGTCCTCTGTCAGATATGTGATTTGCAATTCTTTACTCCCAATCTGTAGCTGGCCTTCTCAACCTCAAAACAGAATCTTTTACAGAGCAAAAGTGTTTAATTTTTTTTTTTGTACCAGGGATCGAACTCAGGACCTTGTGCTTGCGAGGCAGGTGGCGGAAGCACTGAGCTAAATCCCTGGCAGAAGTATTTAATTTTAATGAGGTCTTATTTATGAGTCCCTTTTTCTTTATTTATTGTGCTTTTGGTGTCATATTTAAGAACTCTTCACCCAACCTTAGGTCCTAGAGATTTTCTCTAATATTTTCTTCTAGAAGTTTTATGGTTTTACATTTAAACTTATGAGCCACATTGAGTTAATGTTCCTATAAATATGTTTATCTGTAGGTTTTTTGGAGATGTTCTTTACTATTTTGAAGCTCTCTACCAAGTATCCTGAGACTATTTATTATGAATGAGTGTTTAATTTTGTTAAAATGCTTTTTATACTTCATTTTACATAAAAATGTGATCTTTCTCCTGCAGTCTGTCAATATACTAGATTATCCTCATTGATTGTCAAATATTGAATCAGCTTTGCATCCTTGGAACAATCCTTATTTGATAATGGTTTGTAATTGTTTCTATATATTATTGAGTTCTCTTTTCTCTATTTCGTTAGTAATTTTTTATTTGGTATCTACAAAAATATTGATCTGTCACTTTTCTCTTTTTAAAATATATTTGTATGGTTTTGGCATCAGGGTAATATTGGCTTTATAAAATGAATTAGGAAATGTTCCTTAAGCTTCTATTTTCTGGATGAGATTGTATAGAACTGTCTTAATTCTTCTTTAAATGTTTGGTAGAATTCAATGGTGAAGTCATTTGGGTCCAGAGACTTACTTTGGGGGAGTTAAAAAATTATGAGTTAACCCTCCTTAATAGTTACAGGACTTTTCAAATTATACAAATATCATATTGGATGTACTGCAGTAAATTATGCTTTCTGAGAAATCAGATTTTACCAAATTCTTGTTAATTTGTTGTGTGTAGAGTTGTTTATACTATTCCATGATTACTCTTTTGATATCTACAGGGTATAGTGCTATCCCAATTCATTCTTGATATGGATAATTTGTGTTTTCATTAGGCAGTCTTGCTAGAAA